TTCTAATTTTGTGAACAGCACCTGTACATGTACAAATTTAGACTCTTACACATACAATGATTCTGACAGTTCTCTTACCCAATAACAGATCACTTCAAGTATGTAAGGTATGTCTTTCCTGCAAATACAAACATTAGAAGAAGTCATCTTTAAGAAAAGATACCTTCCTTTTATTGTCATTCTACAGCAAACAACAAAATTGAGCAGCAATATGCCGGTGTTGCATATCAAATTTTTTTCTTTTATTAAAAAATACTGCACCTAAAATAACAGAATTGTACTTTAAAAAGTCTAAAAACATAGTAAAGTAGAGTAAATCAAAAATTTACATTTGGTTATAGGGAGACCAAGAAAGTGGCCTCTGCACTCACTAAAGGCCTCTTCATGCTCCATCCGAAGCTGACCGGATGATGCGCCACGTCACGTGGTTGTTCAGAATTCATTTTCTCACAACTTTCATAGCTTCAGTGACACACAGAGCCGAGCTCCTGGGAAATCCCTCCCACTACTTAGGGCTGGGCAGTATGACCTCAAATTCATATCACGGTATAAACTGAATCCCTTCATGGTAATGGTATATATATATCGTGGTAGAAAATGATCATAAAAAGCAAAGATAATGTAATTTTTAGAGCCTTTTTTTTTCAGAAAACTGTAATCTTAATCAAACCCAGTATTTTTGCTGTAGTGCAAATGAACATAGAAGTATAAAAGAATGTTTTTTATAAATTGCAAAACAGCTTCAACAACAAATAAAACATTTCTCAAATTTTCAGCAATATGAAAATAGAGTGAATGTTATAACCAGTACTTCAAGTAAAATTAGTCATTTAGACATAAAAACATTCTAAGTTGCCTTAAGTGTTATAGGACACTTAAGGGGCTTAAGCTGCACATAGTCCTGTCATAAAACAATTTCAGATAACTAAAATAAAAGTGTGGTGAAGCCAAATAAATGTAACATCTGCCTGCCATACAATGAGCCTGCTGAACATATCAGCTGCTGCTCTGCTGCGCTCTCATCTTCATCATAAGAGCAGAACTGTTACTTTAACGAGATGGATTTATGACTGAACGAACGTCCACATCTTTATCATCTCTGTGGGTAACAATACATAAAAACAAGTTTTTTCTCTGAGAACTTGGTTGTGAAAAAACTACTGTTGTTAAAGCTTCTCTCTGCACGATGTGCGGGGAGGGGGGGTGATCCCAACGTAACTTTTCTACAGCGGGAGGGGCATTTATTCTCTCTATACATGTTTTAGAACGCTATATTTCTTCATTTATTTTCAGAATATTTTGAACTCCTCATGCTCAGTTGTCTCTGCACTCGCAGCCCTGTTGACACAGGTGTGATGACCTAACTTATGACAGGACGATAGAGGGTAAATTTCTACCGTAGACCAACTTTATACCGTTTCTACCGTCTATCACATAAACCGRACAGCCCTACTGCTACGGTATTGTCACTGCACAGGGTTTCTTCCCACTGGAGTCTACAATGCAGAAAAAAAATCAGAGACCCACCACCTGATGTTATTTGTCCACAAATGTCTCTGTTAAAGCTCCACAGTTTTTATCAGACAGATTCCTCCGTGCACAACGTCTGTGTTTCCTCCATCCATGAGTTTCTGGCCATTTGATTATCTTTATAAATGTATGCTTCCGGGTAGCCTACAACCGTCTGCTTCTGGAAGAGCCTTTTTATTTTTTATTTTATTTTATTTTTTTAATTGGTTGAAGCAAAATGCAGCGTCCAAGCACTGTCAGCATAACAAACACTCCCACAAATGTCTGACAAATCACACATTAGGTTCCTTATGTGGAGGGGGTAAAAAGTTCTGCCGGTGGGTTGTGACAAAAGGGGTGGACAGAGTCGACACTGAGAACACTGGTGATGTAATTTTTGTCATGAACCTGTGACAATCCGAGACGATTTTGGCAGTTCAGAGGGAGTGTGAAGTAGGCTTAAGTAGGAGTTTCATACTTTGTCGGCATAGTTGGTCCAAGACATGATTGGTCAGATTGACAGTGGGGTTTGAAGAAGGTGGGGGGCAGAAGGGAGTAGCTTGGTTGAGTTGGGCAGGAAGTAACATGTTTTTTTAAGTATAGAGATTAATTTTAGTCATAACTTGAGACAAGAAGGTGCTAGCTGCACAACATTTGAAGTCAATAAATTATGTTTACATGTTAACACTAATTTTTGAGACATTGGACCGCATGCAAGAACATGTTCGTATTCTTATCCTAAATTTCTCTTACTTTTGTTCGGATGAAGGGTTCGTATGAACATGTCACGTCAGATTCAACAAACTCTTCTACCTTCAGGAAAAGTGTGTAAATGAGTTGCCTAAACCGCCAACCCCTGTGGGTTTGAGACCTCAGGTCTCATCAGAACAATAAACTCTCTAAAAGGATAATAAAAGGTTAATAATGAATCACCCCCATAAAGTCACATGTAAACCTGACTTTCCCTTCAGAGATTTGGCCAGATCCTCTGGATCTTTTGATATTATGAACTGTAGYTGGTGAAATCACTAAATTCTTTGCGATTGTATGTTGAGAAACGTTGTTCTTTAAATGATTGGTCTAGGATGGGGTGCCCCATTCTTACTTGTGAACGGCTGAGCCTTTCAGGGATGCTCCCTTTTACCCAATCATGACACTCCCTTTTTTCCAATCAACCTGTTCACCTGTGGAATGCTGAATTGCAAAAAACTGTTATCCATTTGAACATTAAGTACAGTATCTTGTTTGTAGTATATTCAATTGAATATGTGTTGAACGGGATTTGCAAATCATTGTGATCTGTTTATTTGTTTTACACAACATCCCAACTTCATTGGGATTGGGGTTGTCCTAATGTTTATAGCTAAAGAATAAATTAATCTAACAGCTGTTTGGTCAGTCTGTATTAGTAGATGCTACAATGTCTGGATGTCTTTGAGTCTGTCAGCTGTGCAGCAGTCTACATCCGGCTGTTTTCTCTTCTTCCTGTTGTAATATTGTCAGGTGATTAGTAGAAAGCTGTATTAGTTTTAATGGTGATGAGCTGAAAACCATAAACTTCTTAAATCAGGAATTCTGTAAGCATAAAAAAACAACCTGTCCTAAAATAAAAACCCCTTTTTAGTCATCCTTAATAAATGTGACTCACTCCCATGTGATTTGTTTTATTCTTCCAGAGGCAAATTATTTATCTATTGATTTACTAAAAGCTCTCTAGCTCCTGTTGAGCCTTTAACTTTGTCATCTGCAGCACTCATATAATAAACACAGACAGCTAGAGAATTTTCTGGATGTTGGAAGTGAGCTGTGATGCATTAGAAGAGAGGGAGAAGCTAAACTCCCTGTGAGTTAGATGCTGATGGGCGACAGAATGCTGTGTAAAATTAATAATAGTGACAATACAGTCATTTATGATATCACACAAGAACAAATGTGAAATATTTACTTTATGACCTGATCTAAACACACAGATGCTTTTAATATGAATAACATCAAGTGAATGTAAACTTATGACCCTCTAATATTTGATAACATTTGTTTAAAAGGGGGAGGAGTGCCAATTCCATCCATGTCTGGTGTCGTGGCTGCTCAACCCCAGACGGGGAGGAGCTCAGAGGACCGCTACGCTGCATTGGCTGAGTTAGACAACGAGCTCGGCTCCTTTGCCTCCACGGGCAGCGCCGTGCAGGGGTGAGACATCTGTGCACAGACACACACATGCAGCACTGTGCAGGGGTGAGATATCTGTGCACACACACACACGCAGCACTGTGCAGGGGTGAGACATCTGTGCACAGACACACACATGCAGCA